TCACGTTCATTCTCTTGAATGTTTGCATGAAACTTTAAGATATTCAACTCATGCACATATTCCTCCATGGTCATATATTCTTGAGAAAATATTTTCAATTTTATATTTAGCTTCATTTAGTAGTAGTTGGTGACGTAAGCCTTTCTTAAGTATCTTCTAAGCTTCTTCCACATTTTAATGGGCTTTTTCTCAAGTTGGCTTCTTTTGTATTGTAAATCTTGCAACCAATAAATAGCATAGTTAGTGAAATTTAAAGAAGCAATTTTACCTTCCTTGACTCAGACAAATCAAGAGTCATGAAGTTTTGGTCCATCTTCATTTCCCAATCAAGGTATTTTTCTGGATTGTTGCTACCTTTGAATGAAGGATACTTTACTTTTTGGTTGGTAAGTCAACATCATGGTTTGAGGATTTCTTTCCCTTAGGAGAAAGGGGCTCTTCATACTCTTCATCATCATTGGAGGTCTCATACTTCTTCCATTTAAAAGAGGAAGTTTTTGGCTTATCTTTATCCTCCTTATGAAACTTATGATCAAGTGCCAAGCAAAACTACTACAATTATATTTTAATAAATTCTAAAACAGAGTTCATATCAATACTAGGGGATTCATCCTTATTACTCATGTTCACAAAAGCATTAGAAATCATATAAGATAAAAATGGATCCTCACACATACTAACTCACGTGTTTACTATCAAAAGAAATAACGTCACTCATGTTTCACTAAAAATAATGGCTCTTTTAATGATGGAAAAAAAAACACACTTGTTTTTTACCACTCACTAAGCTTGTGGATAGAATCCAATGGTGAAACCAAACATAAATTAAGAAACTAAGAAACAATCAAATGAATATTTTCTAAATTAAAGAAACTAGAAAATAAGTACAAGAGGAAAGAGGATTTTTTTTTGCCAATTTTTTTTTAAAATTTTGAAACAAATAGGAAGGCAAAATTTTCAAATAAAATCAAGCTTGCAAAAGGAAAAATCACACGTGAGAAACAAAAATAGAAAAGAAAGAAATGAAAGTCAAAGAGTCAAATACTCAAAGACAAAAATAGAAAGCCAAATAGAATAGGAGAGTAGCACAAATAGCAAAATAGGAGAATAGAGAATTTTAAAAGTGCTACCAAAAATTAAAAATAAGAAAGTGACCAAAGTAGAAGATTTACTTACCACCCAAGTTGACTTTTCTCTTTAGGCAATTTTTTAGTGACTTGAAGTTCAAAAATAACCTTTTTCTATAATCACAACTCACAGCAACACACACACGTAATTTTTTTTTGAATTTTCAATTTTTTTCCTTTTTTTTCAACACACTAACACTTTTTTTGCCTTTTTGTGCACGAATTTCTAGGTAAGTTTTTTCTTATTTTTTTTGACTAGGCTAATAATTGACTAGGCTGATAAAATGAGAACTCACATAAGATGAAAAAGTCACAAAGGTGAAGAAGAGGAAAACCAAAAGAGAGAAGTAGATGGAGTATATAAGAGATGATTACAAAAAGAAATAATTCAAGATGAAGAAGAAGATGACAGTAACAAAAATGAAGAAGAAGAAGAAAAGACAAGAATTTGAACCATAATTACTAAATTAGCAACAAGTTTTAATACCAATCTAATAGGGGATGCGGAAACAGAATTGTGTTAGTGTAGGGACAAAACCCTGAAACAAAACAAAACCACAAAAACAAAAAGAAAGGGATAAAATTTGTTATGAAAATAAAGAAAGCAATGAGATAAACAATGTGATAATGATAAAAAATAAGATCCTTTAGAGCACCTGCCTCTAGGAATCTCAACCTTTGAAGACACCATAAGAGTTGATCACACTCTTAATCATGTCTGTTTTTCACACGAGATGCCACTATAAAGCACTAAGGCTCACAAGAGTTGTAAATTTTAAAATGAATAATTTCATTTAACTTCTCTTCTATTTACAAGAGGGAGCATGCCTAATATATATAGGCTCATAGAGAAGATTATTTCCTAAAATTAAAATCTTAATTTTCTAATACTAAAAGGAGAAAGAAAATAATATAAAATAAATATCCAGCGACATAATTTAGGAGATGTGATCCTAAAATTATGGAATTAAAAACTTAAAAATAATATAATTAATTCTAATCTTTAACTAAACTCAAAATAGAAAACTATGACTAATCTTACTCCTTAAGAAAGGGAGTCAAGTCAAATGATCATTAAAATAGAAAATAATTTAGGAGACAATTAAGGGATCATAAAAGATTTAAAATCATGCCACCCTTAACTTTTTCATTAGGGTTTTATACCTCCTTGCTTGCAAGAGGCTCCACTTATAGTCTTCCTTATATTGGGCTAGAGTTTACACTTCTTGGGCTTGACTCTTCGTGGGTTTGGATCTTAAATATATTATACATGTCTAAATGCTCCCTTTAGGCTTGAGAGGAATGCCCTAATACTCTCCAAGCTCTTGAACTTCTTGTACAAGATTAAACAAGGCTTGCTTCATAACTTTAGTTTGGGCTCTTGTCATTGGACTTCCAATATATTGTAAATGGTCTTTAGGCACGTTAGATTAAAAGTGTTGGGCTCCTTACTCCTTGCCTTAGGCTCCTTTCATGTCACCATGCTCATGATTACCATCCTCAAGTTTCGTTTCTATTAATGTCATATCATCCATGCCATGGGGTCTATCAAATTATATAAACTTTGAATTATAAAAATTATGTAATTAATTATAAAGTTGAATAGTCTTTTGATAAAAATATAAAATTTCTTAATTTCATCTTTTTTAAAGGAAAAATTCAAGGATTCTAATGTTTAAGGATTAACGTGTATAATGTATTAAACTAGAAAAGCTTAATTAAAATAAAATAAATTTCATAGACTTAATTTAAAATTGAAGAAAATTAGAAGAACTTGAAAATTAATTTTTCCAAAAATAAATGACGGGATGAAACAATTGTAGGTAAAAGTCTATCTTTATTATGAAAAGCATGTGAAATTAATTATCTCATATGTATTTATTTAGTCCAAATCTCTTGATTTTCTTTCTCTTTTCTTGGTAATTTTTATTTCTATAGTCAAATACATAAAATAAATTTACTTCTTAATTTCTTAATAGGATTCCAAAAATATTATGTTAAATCATAACATTCCAATCCATTTCATTCTCTCATATCTGAAATCCTTTGAGTCCATACATATAATAGAGTCGTTTGATTTTGAAGTTCATTGCTAAGAGTGAAAATAGACTAAGCCAAGTTAGAATTAACGAAATAGGTCTGGGCCTGTGTGGTGAATTAAAGGCTTGAGTTTGGCCTAAAGCTTCTATAAAGCCCTTTTCATGGCTCAGGCTTGAGTTTAGTTAAAGTCTAACATAATCTAAAAGCCTATTTAAAAGGAAGTTTATATTTCAGTTTGAAACATCTCAAATATATATTAGGACTATTATAATATATAATATATAATTTGATTTATCAATTATAATGTATAATAATTAAAATAACTTACAACTTAATACAATATAACAATAAAGTAACAACATTTAAATTAATATATAAGTTAAATATAATTGAAAACATAACTAAAAATAAAAAAATAGATTGATAAAAAATTAGATGGTGAAATTGATGTGTTTGTGACATGTTACATAGTGTGTGTGTAAATAAGTTGTTTTGTAACGCTTGTAGGCTACCTTAAAAAAAATAAGCATGACCTATTTAATTAAATAAACCTAATTAAAGGTCTAAACCTAGTTTATACTTATTTAGTAAATTAGGTTGGGTTTGAAATAGAGTAAGTTGTAGGCCCCTATTAGGGCTTATCATATTTTTACCTCTATTCATTACTTATCAAATGATGAGCAGTGAATACTTAGATCATCTCAAATAGATTTACATATTTTTTCAATTTTTTTTATATTTATTAACAAATTACAATAGTTTAATAAATTTATCTCATCATTGACTTGAAAAATACATATTTAATTTGAATAATCTAATTGAATATTAATTTTTTTTATAATTTTTACAAATTAACTATTTAATTATATTCTAGGAAGTCTAAATTTAATAATAAATTTTTTTAGTATTTTATAATTTTTTATTTTAGTAAATATAATATTAAAAAGTAAAAATGAAGATAATTTTCAAACTTGCACTTAAAAAAGTTTTAAGAAAAGTCGCTACTAAAAAATTTTAAATCTAGATTGTTTAGAGTACATTTAGATATTTAATTTATAAAAGTTACCAAACATTTAATATTAAATTAGACTACGTAAATTAAATATATATTGTCCATATTAATGATAAGATATATTTTATTAAAATTTTTTAATTTTTATTTTAATAAATATAAAATAAAAATTATAAATCTAGACTGCTCATATTAAAAATTTGGACAGTCCATATGCTCATTAGGCAATGAGCACCAAAACTGAACGTTATTGTATAGCTGTATTTTACATATATGTATAGAGAAGGTGGCACAAAAATAAAAGATTCTACAAAATATTGAAGGCTAACTATAATCTAGTAAAATAAACAATTGGATTAAAGGATATTTTTATCCATAAATTATTTCATTAGGAGTGTCCAGTGCCCTTTAACTATCATGTGATTTAACTTTACCCTTCAACATTTGAAAATGGTACATTAAGAGTTAAAAAGGTTAATTTTGATCATTAGTTCGCATAAAAAATTACAAAAAAAACCTAAAAAATTATTAAAAAATGCCAATAAAATTGAAAATAAGCATCTTATAGAAAATTAATATTGATTAAATTTATAAAATAATTGTTGATCAAAATCATATTTTGGCCTTTTACATGGGTAAGAAATAACATTTGTATCCTATCATTTATATGTAATTTAGAGGACTTAAATGATATATTAATTTTCTTATATGATACTTATGTATAATTTTATGAATTCTTCTTTGTAATTTTTGAAATTATTTTGTTGTTGTTGTTGTAATTTGTAAGTTATTAATGGTCAAAAATCAAAATTAACCTTTTCTATTGACAAGGTACTAAATGCATTATTTTCAAATGTTAAAAGGAAAGTTACACTATGCCAAAGTTTAGGATAGCATATGTTCTTTGACTCATAAAAACTTGAGGACGCCATATTATTTGATCAAATGGTACCGCTTATTTTCCCAGTTGTTTCTAGAGGGTAACTGCCACTCATTCTAAAAAATTTTCCTTCCTTGAGTAGAGCGAAACTTGATGCCTTGTTCCTGAAATTATAGACAGAAGCTTTACCAATGCCAACCAAAAATTTCACAACTTCAGGTAACACGCCCTAATTTCTCAATTTGATTCATTTTCTGCTGACAATCTTTGCTGAAAAACCCTCTCCCTTGCATTTATTGCCTGCCAATTCATCAGACTCTCCATCAAAGAGGACATATCAAAACAGTAAAGCTGATGCAGCATCTTGACAAGGCTGGTACATGAGTTATCAACTAAATTTTAAAGATTGAAGTTAGGGTCATATAAGCTATCAACTCAGCAGCATTGCAAATGAACTTTTAATTGCTCAGAAGTAAAAATTAGGCATCAGCAAAATCAGTTGGCAAGTTGAAGATAGGGCCGTAGCATTATCAGCTCATAAGCATTTTAAATGAACTATAATTGCTCAAAAGTGAATAGTTAAGCATTAAATTTCAAGATGTAATGAAAAATTAGTCTCTAAATGAAGTGAAGAGCAAACCTCTTTTCTCCAATCTGCGCAACTTGTTACGATAGATAGCAGAGTCACTTGGCATATTGAACCAATTGTTATTCCAATCCAAAGGCCTTTTGCTCTCAAGCCTACCCAGAAACCCAAGGTTGCAGCAATTGGAATGCCAAGAACATAATAAACTCCAAGATTCACCCACGCGCCTAAGTGCTGCCAACCAATTCCCCTAGCAATGCCTGTTTTGAAACAAGAACCAGATTCCACGGTGCAGCTTCATCTCAGAGCATAACAAGAAAACAATGTCCATTGAATAATATCAGATGAATGAGGAGCTAACCTGAAAGGGTACCATGCATGGAGTCCATTAGAACAGACAGACATAAAAGGGGAACCATATTGGTGACATAGTCCACCACATCCCCCTCGTTGCTGAAAACATAGCCTAAAACATGTTTGCTGGCAAACAGGATTGCGCTCATCAAAATGGCCTCAGAAGAGGTCAGAAACATAGCAGCAAGAACGGCTACACGTGCCACCTGTGGACTTCCAGCTCCTAATGCATTCGACACTCTAGTGCTGAAAATGCCAGTCACAAGAGATGCCATAAATACAATTACATTATATAGTTGGAGGCTTCTGTAAATGGATGTGTAATCTATATGCTGATGAATGTTATCCGAAACAAACCTTGCTGCTGAGCCAATTGCCTCTGGTATTGTGTAGAGTGTTGTGGTGATTGATACACTGATCATAAAAATAAACGTTGTAGATCATTACTCAACAGTTTTATTTTGAGTTTAGAAGCTGAACAGAAAGAAAAGATATACCATATGGATAAGATTGAAGTTTCAAGCTCTGGATTCGGTAGAAGACCGGAAATCAAGGTAAGCAGCTCAAATGACCACCATTCAAGGCTAAAAAAAATTATTTTTTATTAAATATTAGTAAACTTACAAGCTCATACAAAAGAAAAGATTGGCTCTGTGGGGAAGAAAACTACCAAACCATTGCAGCTGAAGGAATAGCAAGGCCAAAGAACTCCCTAATCCCTTGGAAAAGCTCCTTAGAAATTGGAACCCGGGTTTTCGCACATGAACAAGAGAATTTCATATACAATCCAAGTAATATTACATTCAACCAATATGAAGAACCAATAGCAAATGCTGCTCCTATGCAACCAATTTCAAATTTAAAAACAAGTACCCAGCAGAAAGATATGTGGAAGCAAAGAATAATTAAGGAACTTATGAAAAGGGGGATGATCAAACTCTGCATCATAAAGAATCGAATTAGTGCCTGAAGTGTTGCATAACCAAAGAGAGCAGGAATGAGGCATACTGCAAATTTGCCTGCTTCATGTGAAATCAAAGGGTTTTGACCAAGGAAAACAAGCAGCTTGCCCAAGAACATCCACAAAAGACCCAGAGGGAAACAAGATAAAGTAAGACAGAAGATAGCAGTGTGAATTTGAACACCAAATTTTCGATATTTCTGAGCTCCATAGGCGTGCCCACAGAGAGTCTCCAGTGCACATGACAGTCCAAACTGTTTGATGTGTACAAAATACAAATGCAATCAATATCATAAAAAACGTATGATCTATTGGAGCTTTAGTGCTTATAAATCATAAACAGTGTGACTCTTCTCAATCCATGTGAAACCTCTTTATTTTTTCAATCTTCCTTCAAACATTTCATGAGGCTCTGTGCAATTTTGTTTTAATTCCTTTAATATTTTTTTCATATATTTTTATAGGATTTAAACATTTCCAGTTAATTCTGGAATAGAGATGTCCTTTGTTCCTTTTATACCCTTAGGAGATAAAAAGATTATAAGCAGAACTGATCAAAATAGCAAGTGATTCTAGCCTCTATTATACAGACCCGGCTGGTGGTTCTCTCCTATCTCCTATTACCTTCAAAAAGCAATTCTACCTTCTATATAAATCAACCTTAAAGAATCTATCAGGTAGACCCACCCCAAAGCCTATTCTACATTTATTTCACTCATTATACATGACGTATTGAATCACATCACATGTAAGTTCAAACCCGTGAGCATATTCCTTGCTTTATTTTCTACTTTTTTACACTTCAAATAGCAAGTCTATCAAATAGGTTTTGTAGGCAAGTGTTACTCTTATTTCAAAAAGCAAATGCTCAATTACAACATCTTTAGAGCAAAAGGAAATTGGAAGTGACTTACGATGACGCTGAAGCCAGAGACAGCACAGAGAGAAATAGCAATGGCAGTGCTTGAGAGAGCAAGCTTACCCAAGTGACCCACCATCATCAATGAAATAATTTGCAGAAAGAAGAGTGACCAATTCACGGCCACCATAGGCCCCCCAACGTAGCTCGCATCTTTCACCTCTTGAGCAAACACATCCCATGTTAGGCCAAAATGACGATTCCCCTCTCTATCTTTCTCTAAGAGATCCATATTTTCTCTACTCTGCGACTTGTCTGCTCACAGTCACATATTGTTATTCATGTGGGAATGAAATAGAAAGGTTTGTCTCCACAAGGTGGCGACAATCTTGTCATAAACCACCAATCTGGATTTTAACTGGGTAACGGTGTTTTGTTCACCAAAAAATAATAATAAAATCTTTTTTAAAATATATAGCTTTCAAAATGTAATTATTTTCTTAAAATTTTTAAGAATTTTTATATCATTAATAAATTTATATAAATTATGAAATTACTCTTGTTGAAAAATAAATGATTCATAACTTTTTTTTATATTCACAATAATATAACAGCAAATAAAAAATTTAATATGCAAAGTTATGAATTACTGTTATATTGTTGTGAATTTAAGAAAACTTTTAAATATAAGAAAGAAAGTTGTGAATTATTTATTTTCAACAAAGGCAATTTAATAATTTATATAAATTCTTTAAGGACAGAATAATTCTTAAGAACTTCACGGGAATTATAACATTTTGAGGGATCAAATTATCATTTATATATTTTAAAGAGATTTTATTGTTATTTTTTCTTTATTTATTGATGGTCCTTGAAATGCACATCAGCTCATTTTGCTCTGGAGCTGGACCACGCATCTTCTCTCTATCCCAAACTCTTTGATTGTAATTTAAAATGTATTTTATATACTCTTTTGGTTTTTTTTATAAGTCATTTTTACTAATTTTATCAATCTCAATATAAAAAAAGTACAAAGAATAAAAGTATATAGAATTTCAAATATGCCCCTAGATAATACATTCAAAAAGTGATATTATATTATTTTTTCTCTCACATACAGGGTAATTTTGAAAATGTATTTCAACTATTACCTAAAAAATCGCACCATAACTTATAAATAATACTAAATGGATCTTTTAAAATGTGATTTATAATTGGGACTGGAGGGAGTGCTAAAGAAATATGTATAGTATAACATGTGCGTATGACCAAAAAAAATGTTAAACTTGAAAGTTTAAGTAAATTCCTAAACATAGGTCCAAATCATAAACTCATAAAAGATTACTTCTATTAATAAATAATCTTTAAAAAATATAATTAAATAATTAAAATATAAAATCTAATTATAATTTGATTTAAATATATTTTAAATATAGAAATCAAAATTAAATCTATCTACATTAATAAATTATTATACTTAATATAAAAAATTTAAAATAGGGCAACTTATTTTTTGTATTTCTTATTTTCTTTTTTATTAATATTAATTTTTATTTTTTTAGTTTTATTTTTTATTAAACTTGGTCATATGGCTTCTATGAATTAAATTCTACATAATATATACTTTTCATGCCTAACGAGTTTATGAATGAGTTAAAATAATTTAGTAAGTTAGAAATATAAAAATAATAAATCTGAAGAGATTATGAGTTTAATTGAGTTTCATCTAATTTAAATTCATGAATGATTTAACATGATTTTATAAACTAACAATATTTTGACAATAAACTCGAAAAATTATGGTTATGTTTTGCATTGTTTCGTCTCCTGATCAAATTTTTATACGCACGCAGTTCACATACATTGAAAAACTCTCAAGTATAATAAAATGATAATGTTTTATGCCAGAGAAGCGGAAAATGGCAATGGAATGGAATGTTCACAGCGTTTTTTAAGTTAGAATAACATGACATTTCTCACCACAGAATTTAATATTATAAATATTATACTTTTTTTAACAATTTAGTATAATAAAACGATAATGTTTTATGACAATAGGAATAATTACTTCAATATATAATATTTTTAACTCAATTATACTAACTAGCAAGTTAGCTAATTATCTTTAAATCAAATACTATTTTTTTCATGTTAATTTTTATTCAATAGGTTGTCTCAATTAAAGAAAAATGGTTGAGTAATTTATTTATTAAAAGTATTTTCAAAAAACTCATTCATTATATATTGAAAATTAAAAATGGCTTACTTTTTTTTCAATATCTTGTCTCAGAAAAATACCTTGTGCGTTTGAATGAAGGACATATCATGTTATTATGCTTAATGATCAATTGACTGACCTTATGGTATTTAATTTAATTGTGTTGCAAAAATTTTGGGTATAATTCCCCCTTCCTTTAAATTTTATGTATTGAAATATTTTGAAATAAATTGCGATGATTGTTAGTGAGAGAAAGTCTCTGGCACTAATGCCGGAGGAACACGATGCCCTAGCTTGCAGTAAGAAGAAATTTTGAGTAGGAGATAGATCTTTCTCTAATGAACACACGTTGGTTTGAAGAGAGGAACCTTGGATGAGGGGGGAACGGGAGGAGTTTGGAGGTGAGAAAGAGATGGTTGACAATGATGGAGAAGATAAGGGTATAGAGACTAGGTTTAGCGAGTTTAAAGGCAAGACATAGAAGTCATACAAACAAGCATGTATGAATGGGAAAGACGAAAAGGAGGAAGAGGACTAGTGGAGCGATGATTGGTAGAAGTCTAAAATTTCAGTTATGACGACATCAAAAGGTCCAAACGTTATTATTCCCTTGGCAAAGAAAGAAAGACTGGCTAAAAGGTGGAAGAACTTCCTTATCATTAAACTATTGGGACGTTTGGTGAGATCTGAGTATATGAAAAATAAACTTCCTCAGATGTAGGGATGTTGCGGAGAAGTGGCTATGATTGATGTGGGTTTGGGGTTCTTTGTGGTACAGTTTGAAAGGAAGGAAGACTATGAATTAGCATTAACAGGGGGTCCGTGGTTGTTATTGGACCATCACTTTGCTGTGCAACCATGGAAAGAGGACTTTAACCCAGAAGAAGAGACAATAACCAGTTGCCATATGGATTCATATTTTGAATCTCCTACTTGACTACTATGATAAAAGAATTCTTTATGTTTTTAGATCTCAAGTTGGGAACAGGCTAAAGATTAATCTGACCATGATAAGAAGGAAGAAAAGTCAATTTGCCTGAATATGCGTGGAGTTCGATTTGATTGCTTCTTTGAGACCAATAATCCTTATGAATGGGAAAGAGAAAAAGATATAGCATGAAAGCATCCATTTGATATGTTTGAAATGTGTTAAACATGGTCATCACATTGAACACTATAGCTGATGCCTAATGATGGTGGACTGAAATTGTAGAACAGGGAGAAGATGATTGGTGGCATGTTGGTTACATATTTTGAATCCAAATTTTCTCAAATAAAGGGGAAGAAGAGGCTAGAAAAGATGATATGGAAATAGAGTCAGAAGTAAACTATGATTAATGGATGTTGGTGCAAAGAACTCAATGGTTCTAATGAGGTGGTTGGTCAAAGGGGGTAGATCTTCAGAGGTGTGATCTCAGGGAGAAATCACTAAATAGTGGCCTAAAATCTTATTATTTTGTTTTAGAGAATAATGAGGAAGTTATTGAGGAAGTACCCCTGAAGAATTAGCACTTAACCATGCCTTTTAAAGATATTACTAATAGGGAGAGAAATGCTAGATCAGCTGCTATTGGTTAAAGACATAATTCTACTTTATTTAAGGGCTGAAATATGATATTGAGCAAGGAGAAAAAGGAATTAAAAAGTGGACCAAGCAAAAGATCTAATGAAAGTGGCCAGAGATTCTAGAGTGAGTTAAAGAGAAGATGGGCTTGGATAGTTCAGAAGAGAAACCTGAATTAGGGGTGTAGAAATGGAATAGAAGGATATGAAGGAGAATATGGACTATGATTCTGAGAAGCTTATGCATGATGATAATCTCATTGACCTAAGTGCAGTTCCATTTAATGTCCATTCTAATCCTTTATCTATATATGGTAATGAAGATGACATGGTTGATTTTGATGCTAGTGGAAGGCATGATAGGCAATTTTAACTGGGCTGTTTCTTTCCTTGACAAAGAATTTTTTATGGATAGTACAAATAAATACAATATTCTCATTTAGAATGTTTGAGGTATAAGTGGGTGTGGCTTCCTGAATCTAATCTTGGAGTTACACAGCATTTATAAGTTTCATTTTCTAGCTCTTTAGAAACAAGACACGATAGTTTGAAAGCTCAGTATGTGGCTCATAAGACAAGACTTTTGAAATTCGATTGTGTTGAAGTAAATGGTTATAGTAGTGGTATATGATGTTTTTTAGAGGAGGAAATGGACTTTCAAGTCAAAATAAAGCACAAACAAGTGATTCATGATAGTTTTAATATAAGAACTTATAAGGAGTGGGACTTTTTAGTGGTTTATAAACATCTTAAGCATGCAAGATGTTACTGCTTATGGCAAACATTACGTCAAATAGAAGCTATTGGAGTTTGATGATGGTGTGTTGGTGGTGACTTTAATGCTACATTAGGTGTTGATGAATAATTTTCTATGGCTTCAATGCTTCTTGGAACAAACAAATGGTTTTAGAACTGGTTTAAGGAAGTTGAGTTGATTGACTTAGGTTATCAAGGGCCTAAATATACTTTGGCTAATGGTCGTTCTCATAACAGAATTGATTAGGTATGTGCTAATGTTTTGTGGTTTAAAAATTTTTAGAAGCTTCTTTAATTTATCTTCTTGAGATGAAGTCAGATCACTGCCTTATTCTTTCAAAGATGTGGAATGGCACTAGTAAAGAGAAGAGGGACAAAACTTTTTGATTCTTTACACTATGGGTTATGTATGATAACTTTAATGATTTAGTCAAAGGCTCTTAGAGTTGTAGTTCAAGCTAGGAAGAAAATGTGTCGCTGGGAAGAAAATGTGTCTAGATTTGCTTTTAATATTTCTGATTGGAATATTAACGTTTTCAGGAATATAAAAAAAATCTAGATTATTATGTAAAATTGAAGGCATCAACTGTTGCCTAGAAGCCAATCCTAATTTAACACACCTTGAAGAAGAGCGTCATGTTTTTGGTGCGATTTGGAAGGTATTTTCAAGAGGAAGTTATTTCCATACCATGACTAATTGTTATAACAGAAGGAAGAATATAGAAGCTTTAAAGGGGGAAGATGTTCAATGGATCTATGATAAAACTGCATTGAAAAGG